TACCTTCATATACAAACGCACATACCTTCATATACAAACGCACATACCTTCATATACAAACGCACATACCTTCATATACAAACGCACATACCTTCATATTCAAACTTGCTACGTGTAAGAACAACACTCTCTGTAGTAACAATGGTTACGATTACTTGAATTCCACGTGCTATATGATTTCAAAATACAATATTGACAATATATACATAATTTCAGTGTTGGCTAATAGAATAATTTAATTTGTTAATAGAACAATAGGCATTTTTTGCTACATTAAAAGTTTTTTTCAACTAATTTATAATCATATTAGAATTTAACTAATTTTTCTCCAGGTTAAAATTATAAATTTTAACCATCACAAAATTAATTACAAACATTTTAAACTTTTAAAATTAATTACAAACATTTTACTTAAACTTTTAAAATTAATTATAAACATTTTACTCAAACTTTTAAATTAATTATAAACATTTTACTCAAACTTTTAAAATTAATATTAAAAATAGAGTTAAAATTAAAATTAGATTTTATTTATTTGCAATAATTTAATAGAATTTAATATGATTTAATATAATTTAATATAGTTTAAATAATTTAATATAATTTAATGCTATTTAATATAGTTTAAATAATTTAATATAATTTAATGCTATTTAATATAATTTAAATAATTTAATATAAAGACATTCATAGAGCATAGAGTAATAGAATAGAATTTACAATAGAACAATACGTAGAATGTCAACACTGTACATGAGATATGACAAACAATTAATTAATCGTAGTTTAAACGTTATATAACTATAATAAAATTAATAGATTATTGCCTATTAACAAACTAAAAGCTTTTACAATGAACATAAAACAAATAATCATGTTTTAACTTTTCCAATGAGTATTTGAAAATTACAAAAATGAAAGTGTAACTTTATAGTCTTAGATAGAGTTTACAAAATTACGCTTCTGTCTTTGAAAATTTCGCCTATTCGTAGAGGAAATATTTTTTTAGAAAAAAAGAAACAAGAAATTTTGTTTTAAACATAATAAAAAGGACTAAACAAACTTAATTAATTAATATAAAATGACTAAACAAACATAATTATAAAACACATTAATAACGCAACACTAATTTTATACTTGCAAAATTTAAAAAGCTAATAATTTACTTTATTTGAATATAATATAGTAAAAATAAACTTTATTTGAATATAATATAGGAATATGGCATTCACTCATAATCAACTTTGGAGATTTGATCTTCTAGTAAAGTATGTCAGTTTAAGATTGGTGAACAGGGTGCATCAATAGTGTTTTGTCACTAAAATGTCACACTCTCAAACAATACTTTAAAACGTATAAATAAGTTACCTGAAAAATTGACTTATACATTCAACCAGACAAATTTCTGGTTATGATACTTGACTCGGATTATTGAGTCAAATATTATTTAACGTGGAATATCTCCATTTAAATCTAACCACATCGTTAAATAATTATTGCTTAAATTTGCATATAGAAAATTTGTTATATATCATGTTGAGAATAGAATTAACTGCTATTTCTAGAAAAAGAAACAGTTTATTTATTTCATCATTTTAAAATTATATAAATCATTTAACGAATTATCATATTTATTGATGTTTGAGTAATGAAAAACTTAAATCAACTATGTGCTATAAAATTTATAAAACTTTTTTATAAACCTGAAATATTTCATACTCATCTACTGAAAAATGTGAACAAAAACTAATATAAGATGACGCATTTCTAATTTGATTTGTATAATATACGAAGCTGGTATTGTGAGTATTATGATAACAATAACATTGATTATCTAAATTAAAATTATCTCTCATATAAAGACTAGTACAAAATATCGGACCACGATCAGGATCAGAGTAAATTGCATTATCTGGACTCTTCACGCGACTTAAAATAGAATTTTGAATGGTATCATTTTTCAATGAAAATGTAAAGCTATCTTTACAATTCTTAATACCTGTAACTTTTCTATCCCACCCAATAGGATTATATCCACCAAGAATTTCATCAGTGCCTTTAACCTTCATAACTACTACAAGATTTGGTTTCTTATCACATAAATTCCAAAAAGAATCTTTGGTAAAATCATCTCTACTTCCACGAAGAAGTAAATTAAATTCGTACGGATTATTCGCTATAGAATATTCTTCTTCTTTTCTATCAATCCATGAAGCAATTTCAGCCGCATGTGCTTCACTAATAACTGTTGAAAATGGTCCGGTTGTTCGTAGTAAGATTGTTTGTGCCGTGAGAATACGAGGTGGAAGAATTTTGGATAATACAGGTTTATTTGGAGACATGAATCGTTTCTTTATATCTTTCCAAAGGCTTTTTTCAAGAATTTGTTTATACGGATATACATGATCATAAATGTCATCCCCAGATATTTGAAAATATCTAATAAGAGGTAAACAATTTTGTAAACTAATCTTTAATGTTTGAAAGTTTTCGTGAGTCCAAGTTTTAAAATTTATTGATAAATCCGAATTTTGAGCAATTCCCCATTTAATAATATAATTCCAAATCTTTATTTCTTCCATTTGTAAATCATCTCTTCCGATAAGTGATACCAATGCTGTTTCATTAAGTTTGGTAAAATCTTCAGAATCAAAAATTTTATATGGATATTTTGCCACGATATCATTACTCCATTTTTGTAATTCTTGAAGTGAATTATTTTTATAACTTTCTTGATAAACGTAAGCAAAATTTAAAATAAGCCAATGTGCTTTTGTCTCGATTAAATGAGTTTCAATATATTTAGCCAATTCTTCAAGAAGAAGCTCACATGAAATAAGCATGAGCTTAAAGATAAATTTTGCATCAAAATCTTCTAATAATACTACGCCTCCATATATATATCTTTTTTTTTTTTTTATAAAATTAATAAATTTAATATTCGTAACAATTTTAAAAAATATATAATATATAAAAAAAATTAAAAATAAAATTTAAAATTTACTTGATAATAATATCAAATTGTTGAACGGAAACTTGATCCAAATTAATTGTTTTAATTCCATTTTTATCTTTAACGATATTTGTAAGTTTATTACGAAAATATAACGATCGGTATCTTAAAACAGCAGAATGTGTTTGGAATATTTTAGAATCGGAAGATTTACCAACATTAATAATTACATTAAAATCTTCTTTGTCATTAAGAAGTTCTGTATAATCATTTGAAAGTTTTTCATAAAATTTTGTTGCCATCTTTAATGTAATGTAGGTAAGATAGGTAAGGGTAGGGTAAGAATGCTCAAATACCGTAATAATAACAATTATAAATATAATGTGTCATTGTAATCACATGGAAAAAGGTGCGCATGAAAACAATCTAAATCCGGAATTGATCTGCAAAACTTGTAATTATTCCGGTCAAATGCTTGCCCAAAAATATTGTATTGATATCCATATTTTTTCTGTATAATATATATATTTATTTCGGTATTTTTTTTTTTTAGGTTGCCAAAATTTTTTAAAATGTTATTTCCTTATTATAAACTTTATTTTGCTTAAGGATATTATTAAAAATTCAATTATTTGATCATAGCATATTTCATAATACATCTAAATAATCTATCAACAATATGAAGATAAAACTATTTTCGGCTATATAAAGTGCTTAGGTCTATAACGAGATAAACTAAAAAGAAAATTTTTATCGAATATAAAAAAAAAAAGAATTATCGAGAAATTGAGAAATGTTTGTGCTTGTGACGAATAAAAAAAAAAAAAAAACCATATTTGTATCGAAAATTGGTTGGGTGTCACAAAAAGGAATTGAGAGTTTTCCGACACATGATTTATTAAATAGAATTTATTATAGGAATATGATCACTGTTTTTGAAAGTGAAATTTCCAAAAATCAAGAATTCCAGGTTTTCGATTTGTGACACTTGTTTGTGAATTCCAGGTTTTCGCTTTGCGACACCCGTTTGTGAATGTGTTTGTAGTGAATAAAAAAAAACCGATCGAATAAAAAAGAATTGAAGGTTCGTAGAAAAAAGTCTAACTATTCATCTGAAAGGAAAAAAGCCACATTCTACACATTTTGAGCTAATCGGCTAATCGTGAAAACAAGGATTGAACGTAATCCGACGGTGTTTCAGACAAAACAGTACGTACTTGCAATTTTGGGATGATTCAGTTGCCTCATCAAGAGGGTCAATATGGAAGGAACCATTTAAATCGTTAGTTGAAAAGGAAGATATATTCTGATCATAGTCATGAGAATATAACGGAGGTTGAGTATTCTGGAAAATTTCAATAGTCTCGGTAGCCTCAGTAGTCTCATAAGCGTTATCATTAATAACAGTAGTATTACTATGATTATAAAGATGTGATAAAGAATCATTAGCAGAAAATGAATTAGGGGAGAAATTAAGAGAAGACATAATGTTTTGATCATTATTTGACGTGTATTCATCGTGAATGAAGGAAGAATTGGACATGAATGTATTTTGGTATGCATCAGCAGCAGACTTTGGACCGCGCTTATTACCCTCTATTAAAGTACAATCTAGATTTCTTTTATTACAGTTTGTACATTTATCTTCTCCAGAAGGTTTATTACATTTTTCATGTCGTTTTCGACAATTTGTACACGCCACGGTTGTATTAGTACGTTTTGTACACGCCACAGTTGTATTAGTACGTTTTTTTTGCGGTGGCATTATCTTACACGCATAAAAGCCAAAACTAAGGTTTGAAAAAAAAGGAAGAAGCGTAAGATCTTATATTAAAATATAAATTACTGTTATATCTAAAAACGTTCTTTGCTACACATACAGTCTATAAGTACGATTAAATGATTTTAATTCGTGCCAATTTAACAATTACAAGATTCATGTATAAACCCTCCAACTCATTTCGCGTAATATATTGTACGTTAATGGCATATATAAATCATTCAGAAATCTTGCATAACCATAATTACCATTTCAACGTAATAAATCTGTTAATAAGCATATCTATATCTCCAAATATCATTGGTTTCATAAACTGGGACATATTAAAGGATAGGAACAATGTACATTTCATGTGTATACTTTCCTGAAAACCTAAAACTTGTACAAATCTAAATTTTTTTTTAGAAAAAAAAAAAAAAAAAAAAAAAAAAAAACAAGAGATTTCGATTTAGTGCGAGATATGATGTTATATTATATACATAATTGGCGCGAGAGACATCACTAGCATAATACACTATTTTTTAAAAAATCTAAGCTTATATTTGTATTATATTTTAAATTTTTGCCTATGAAACAACCTTTTTGTTCCCTAATCAACAAATTCCTCTCACAATTTTGGCTTCTTTGTTAAGGAAAGTTCAAAGTGTGGCTTTAGGTCATAGTATAGTTTTGATGAATAGCATAAGGATTGAACCTGTATCCGGGTTACTGTACCCGAATTAACTGTAGGTAGGTCATTTACTAGATAAAGTTTCTGCTGACCGGATAAAAAAGGGTAACTAATCAAATACATATACTCATAAATTATATATATTAGTGTATATATGTGATAATGCCTCTCAACCAATCTCCAGTGAGAGTTCGAATCGCATACGTAGTTATGCATGATTTAAGTGTTAATATATTTACGATGTATAATTTTATTACTCTTAGTTGGTAAATTTATGATGTATAATTTTATTACTCTTAGTTGGTAAATTTATGATGTATAATTTTATTTTGTGAAACTATTGACTTACAATTTCTTTAATGTTAGATTTTTATTACATACAGGAATTTCCTTCGATATATGAATGTTTTATATTCTATGGCTCTAAGATTCTTCTGTGGAATTTTCTATTTGAAAACAGAGACCAATATTTTTATTTTATTTGATCAAATTATTAATATTTACAAAAACAAAAAAAAGAGAAAAAGAGAAATAAAGATTTTAAGGCACTAATTGAAATGCATGCCAAGAAAAGATTTACCCGCGTATGATAAACTTAAACAAATCAAACAATCCTAATCTAATTACCCTAGGGATAAATTTAATTATAGTAGATCACGCAGGTCAAAAAAAGGCTGATTGATGATAATTTTGTAACAAAAATCGGCATCAATCAGGCAGTAATCGGTTAGCGATCAGATTAAAATCAGACGCAATTAAATTTATTATAAGTTATAAAATCACAATTGAATATTTTTGGCATCACCACTAAGTATGCACTTATTTTAGCAATTATTGAAATTCCAATTTAATATTTATTTCTTGTAATGAAATCAAATTCAGGTTTCTATTTATTTTCTTCAAATCCACTTATACTTGCTTACTAATAATTCTAGCTCTAAAACCGACTCTTAACCCTAAAAAAGCTATAAAAAAAATGCACACAAATTTTGTATTTTTCGGTTTTATATTATGTAAATTCCATTTTAATCTGCCATTTTAATCTTTCTTATTAATCATTGGTATTTTCATTATTATTATAAACCTTATCTAATTGCTTCATTTCAACTTCGTAACCTCTTAAATTATTCTAAATTGTTAATTTTTTTTTCTAATTGTTCAACTTAATTTTTGGAATCAATATTATTGGATGGGTACAGAATTTGAACTAAAGGAAATGTAGATAAAAATTTAGTTAATTTCTTTTGAGTTTTCTTATAAAATAGCCATATTTTTGAATTAATCCAAAAGGCTGGGCTGAATTGCATCATCGCCTGTATTTTAAAGTTTAATTCGTTTCAATATTTAAGATAAATTGCTAGACAAATATATTTTGGTAATTTAGCATCAATAAAGGTTTTATTTATAGAATAGAAGTCAAGCCTGGTTTCGACTTTAATCAATAGTAAAGCTTCTAATTTCGTTTAATAATACATTCGATTAATAGTAAAAACGTATAAAAAAGTAATTTGTAAACAAGAGCTGTGCAGTAAATCAAGTAAACCAAAAGAATTCAAAACTTAAATGAAATTATGAATTAATTTATTTGCATATAAATTAACATTTTAGAATTACTTATTATATGTGTTCTTTAAAGTAGGCTTAAGGTTAACGAAGATGGAAATTAAAGCAAATCTACGAACCGGTTACCTTTGCTCTGTTTCTACGGTAGTTATATCAAAAATTTGGCTGGATTAACATTAATGGAAAAACAGTTTGTATGCGTGACGCAACTAGATAACATGTAAAAATAATATTTATACAATTATAATTGATCGGTACATTTTACTTCACCAATAATGACTTTGCTGATATAACAGCATTGTATAATTAAGGTCAGTATTGAAATGAAATTACCTTTTCTTGATGTTAAGTAGGGCTTTATATCATAATCTGGTTGAAGTCCCATTATAGCCTCCCAGTTCGTGATAATAATTTTCTTGATTCTTTGACCGAAATAAAGGTTATTATTCTATAATAACGGATCGTAAACCAATTTTCTTTCAAATAAACATTCTCTGAATATTAGTGGAGCTGCCATCAATAGAAATCAGGTAGATTGACATTTTTTAAAAAAATATACCTTAACTTTCACAGCCCATATTTCATGAATTTTGAAGCTAATTTAATTATATAATATTGAAAAGAATTCGTGAGATCTAAGCTTTCTTTTTGACAATTACTTCAAAATTCATCGAGATATGAGCTGTGAAAGTGAATGCATACCAGGAACGGAGTACGAAGTACGTAGAGTATGGTGAGATGGTGTGTGCCATTCTCAGCATATGATTGGGTGATTCATTCCGCACAATACTTTAAAAGGTAGGTATCAGGAACGAATGCAAAATCTTGGAATTGATTGGTTCGCGTGACTTATTCGTCATTCAATATATTTATTTTTCATATGCCTGCATAAGGTACAAAAACTCGTGTTTATTATCTAAATTTACTTTATAAAAAAAAGAAACTTACAAATGAACGCATACATCTATAAAATCAAAGGTGCAATAACAAATAATAGTAAAAATAAAACTTCTAGGCACAAAAATTAGTGACATGATATAAATTTAAAGGCCTCAACGCTAAATATTTGATACCATTTTTTTCATCTAATTTTTTTATCGGGCTGATAATGATAATCACAGAGTTAATCAAAAAAATTTGTCGATCATTTCTAAATACGTAGTGGGCGCTAATGTTATTGCACTCCCAGAATTTTGGATCGGGTTCATTGGAACTGAGTGACGCTGGGTATGTATGATCAAACATTACTTCTGTAATTAGGGATAAATATTTTTTGAATTTACTGCGGATAATATTAACTTTCGGTACGCTTTTCTCTCTAGCTAGTATAATAATTTGTTTTTTAAAAAAGATAGAGCAAAATTGTATACCTTAATGTAATAGAGCCATTTCTTCGATCTATACTATTTTGTAAGTAGAAATTCTTTAACAATGTAAAATAAACTTTACCTAAATTTGACAAACATAAAGCTAATGAAAATTGTAAAACTGAGCCTATCTGCTATTGTTGAAAAGAGCATAATAAAAGCTATTTATTAAAAATTAAAATAAAAACATAAAAAACCATATTCTTCACTCAAAAAATGTATCTTTAGTAGTTATTTTAAAAAAATCTACAGAACATTGTTACGGCAAAGGAGAGCTTTTATATCTTCCAACCATATTTAACTCAGTGCCGCAAGCATTAAATACAAAACCCGTGATTTATTTCTACACACAAAGACAAGAGAAATATCCTTCTTAACCTAACTAGTACAAGAAAGAATCCTCCTTTTATAGACTATAAGACTATAACTAATTATTATGCTATTAGACTCTAACTATAAAATGTCGTAATGCACTAAGAAAAAAAAACAACCTGAATAGTTAATTTTCGAAATTATTAAAATAACCGATAAAAAATCCTCAATAATAAATAATACATGTAACTCTACTTATGATTTGATTTACTGATTTTATAATCACCCGAGAGTGACGCTAGCTAACCAAAATTATCAGTCAGACACTGAAATTCAAACCAATATTCAGATTGCAAGTACTATCGACTTCTTTTATAAAGAGTCATTTCCTTATCTCAGGAACGGATTGCAATTAATATATAGTTTACTAGTGACGGAAATGATGTCTGCATAGATTCCTCCGTTCCTGGTTTTGCGCAACTGTGTTGCGCAGCTACTTATTATTTTTTTAAAAAAAAATGTCAATCTGCCTGATTTCTATTGACGGCTATGAACTATAGCTACAGTATAGGATCTAAGTGTATTCTGTTGACAAAATTATGAGTCATAAATGCTGTGCACCAGGTTTGTGACGTAGACGAAGTTCTTAAATTCGTTTAAGGTTAGGATTATGGTCGGGGTTGGGAGTTAGAGAGGGTAGTGTTAATAATAAGATTGTCAAACGAACCCTTTTATTAGAACATAAAGGTGGTTTCTTATGTTAATTTTTGATTCATGAACAATTTTTGGCAGAACGAACGTTTTGATCATGTACATTACACCATCTGGCAAAAATTTTCCGATTGTAACAATGGCCGAGGAAATCATGTCACGGGTAAATGATAAATATAGAAAACTACAAACAAATCTTTCATTATGAACAAACCGAACCAAATTGTGCATTTCCTAAATTATTAGCGTCAATAAAGTGTTTACATAATTGCTTTTATTGAAGTCGATAATTTAAGTTCTGTTGTGCTACTAGGCACAAGATTTTTTATCCCCATAAGGAGATCGTGGTTCTTAGGTTTCTC